TCGTAGTAGTAGCAGAAGTAGTAGTAATAGTAGTAGTAGTAGTAGTAGTAGTAGTAGTAGTGGTAGCAGTAGTAGTAGTAGTAGTAGTAGTAGTAGTAGTATTAATAGTAGTAATAATACTACGGGTACTAGCAGTAGCAGTAGTACGAGGAATAATAATAAGAAAAATAATTGTTATGTGGTTATTGGTGTGGTGTTGCTGTTGGCGTTGGTGTTCCCAAGGCCGCCTGAGTCCCTCCCATCGCAGGCCGCGCCTTAAGCCAGGGCATCGTTTGCGTTTCCCATCTTTCCAACGGGGGCCCACAAGCAAAAGTCCCAGAGCGGAGTGCAAAGACTCCGGCCCCCGCCCCTGCCGCCTCGCCACCCAAGTCTCCTCCAGCCTACGGTGATCACTGACTCAAGGAAGAATTCCGGTACCATGGCCCCCCGATGAGACCTACAGCTGGAGAACAGCTCCCTAAGACCCAAGAGGAAACGCATCAGCGCGAGAGTCAGTCCGACCACATGTATGGCCCCCTCGCCACCATCCTGGTCATGAAGGAGAACTTTGTGATCGGCGGCTTGACGGCCTCTGAGCAAGTCGGCATTGGCAACGCCGACCTCGCTGCTCCAAAAGATCCCATGGATTCTCCAAACCAGTTGTTGGGGCCTCGGGCCAAATCACGATGGAACTAGGTGAGGGCGAATCCTACCGGGAGTTTGACTCCATCACCAACAACTACGGCTTGCTTCACACCCTCTTCGTCTTTCGGACCACGATTACATGGATGGACTCATCGAGACGGATGACAATTTTGAGATCATCTCCTCCACCCCGAGTCCATTTATGATCAAACCTGTCGAAACTGCGGTCTCATTAACCACATGATCATTGTCATGCCGAAGGAGGACAAGACGCGTGTCAGGAAGATGTGTATTGATCATCGACAGGGTGACGCGATAGCACGCCAACAATTTGATCGTGCTGCAGCCCACGACAAACGCCAGTCTGACACAGCTGCTCCTCCTTCTGACAAAAAAAGCGATGGTCCAGCCGAAACTGGTGGAAGTCTCCAAGCGCTGCCTCCTCCAGCAATTAGCATTGGAATAAGCGCAGGTGACTGCCACCATGTGCCTCGGGCAACCGATTGTCAGATTGTGGCTCGGCCAGATGATTTCTCGGGCTCTTTCTGCCAAGTAGCCTGCGAACAAGACAGCGCCCTGTTTTTGCACACCTGCCGGCTCGCTGCGCTGGCTTGGAAAAGTTCGTTGCACTTACAGGGCGACCTTGGCATACTGTGACAACCACGCATTTCTCATCTCAGTGACTTGCACGTACTTGCAGATACCCAAAAGTGACATCGCCGAAAGCTCTCTACCGTGGTCCCATTGTGTGGAGGTCCTCTGATCCTCTCATGTGCTTGACGGTCGTACGGGCAGTCGCAGTAGGCGAACTGGGTGGAGATGGAGATGAAGCCTCACGTGCTTGTCAGCTCTCAGAGTACGAGGCAGCACAACGTGGATCGGTTTCCAGAGCACACCCGGGAAAAAATATTTGCAGACAAGGTTTAGGTCACAAGGTCGGTTTCACACTTTAGTGAGTGCTTGGTGAGGTAACACGACCGGGCCATGCGTGGAGTCCGCTCGCGTGGCGGGCAATTGAATTGCTGTCGTTGTCGTCGTTGTTGTTTGCTGTTGTTGTTGTTGATGATGTTGTTGATAGTAGTAGTAGTAGTAGTAGTAGTAGTAGTAGTAGTAGCCGTCGTCGTCGTCGTCGTCGTAGCAGTAGCAGTAGCAGTAGCAGTAGTAGTCGTCGTCGTCGTAGTAGTAGTAGTAGTAGCAGTAGTAGTCGTCGTCGTAGTAGTGGTGGTAGTAGGAGTAGTAGTAGTGGTAGTAGTAGTACTATGAGTAATACTAGTAGTACTAGTAGTACTAGTAGTACGAGTAGTACTAGTAGTACCACTTGTACTAGAAGTATTGGTAGTGGTGGTGGTAGTAGTAGTAGTAGTACTGGTGGTAGTAGTAGTGGTGGTAGTAGTCGTAGAAGAAGAAGTATAGGTAGCAGTAGTTAGTAATTAACAGCCCTTGGTAAGTAGTTAGTTATGAACAATTAACTTACTAGCAGTTCGTAGTTAGCACTGAGTATGTAATTAGTAGTTAGTACTGGCTAGTAGAGAGCATGTCGTTAGTAGTGAGCAGCTAGTAGTTCCGCTGCAGCAAAAGTAACCGCTTCCTGCAGGCCCCTGCGCCCCGAACTGAAATTGTCTGGATAGCTGCAGTCCAATACTGATTGATGTGTCGTCTTTGCGCCTCCAGGTAGGCCCGCGACTCGTCACTAGCGATCGGGTCTTCATCCTGCCACCGCCATAGTTTGAATGGCTGTCTTGCGTGGCATAAAGGGATTTATACATGTACAGGGCCTGTTTGGTTCCCGCAATGGTCAAAGTCGCCACATCCCGGGTCAGTGTGGTTTCGAACCGAGATGTTGTCCACTACTGCGATCCTGTGAGTGCCTGCCCCTTGGGCCTAAATCCTGGAGCTGGCCTCCGGAGCTTGCTCTGTTGCACTTGACTACATGATGGCACGGGTGGAACAACGAGAGAAGGCGAACACCCTTCAGCATGAAGAACAGGATTCAGGGTCTGCGTCTCCAGGCATATCATCTGGCTTTGCGGAGTTAAGGCCGCATGAGTTTCGACAGCGCGTGGGTTCCCATTCATCGTGCTCGTGCGCATGGCTGCGAGTGGTCCTGCCTCTCCAGCATCTTAGAAGGCACCGTCTAAGTAACGACTTGGTCGCTTAAGGTTCTCTACTCAAGATCCACAGGCCCGTGACTAAGGCAATCCTCGACCTCTGTACACCTTTGTTTCGTCGGATTCGTGATGCAAGCTTGAGGTTCTGCAAGCAGACAACCTGCCTCATCACCATCACTGTTGCAATGGTTGCGGGTAGAACGACAGCAACACAGAACATCGACTGCGCACCATGCTTCTTTACCAGCTGCCTGGCAGACAAAGACAATCCAATGCTCCAGCGTTAACGGTCGGAACCAATTCCAGTAGATTCGCAGCTGCTCATCCTCAGCCCCCCTAAGTTCAAAAGTTATCATCTATTTGGAATGCTTGGGAAGTTTGTGGGATAGCTCCAATGTCCAAACCCTGAACTTCTGTGAAATCTTCGAAAGCGAGCCTGTGCGAAACCGTTAGAAGCCTATCCACCCGGTACCAAAACCGTACAACCTGAGTCTAAACCCTAACATCTTGCCGAAGTTGCTCGGCTGTGATCGGGCTGGCTGCTCTTGTGGTTAGGTGGGTTTTGACACCTCCTACGTCTGTCCCCGGCAGGCCTGGGCTCTCTGGTGCCACTCCGAGCTGCCAACGAGATCTATCACATCGCCTGGATGCAACAGCACTTTCAGGTGCAGCGGGGACAGACTGCTTAGGGGTATTGCAGCGACCAGGTGTTGCCAAATGTGATGTTTCTCTATTGCGTTGCAATTTTTGTTGCCTCCTGCGAGCGCCTCTGCTGCGCTGCAAGGATAGCACTGCTTCTTGATTCCGATCCTTGCGTAGGGCCGATGGCGCGTAAACGATGCGGACCCCCGCTAACCCCCCGCCGACCCCTAATCCGAGAAATGCTGGGCATGGTTATAACATCGTGGCAGCTGCCCTGAAGAATTCCGAGCAACTCCCCGGCCCAGAAAGATCGACAGACTCGCGAGAGCCTCGTATGAAGTCCCGGCATGGTTCCATCCTATCTTTTGAGATGAAGTCTCACAAGGTCATGCTGAGGGATCCTGATCAGCCGGACAGAGTAGGAATGATCAGTCAGAACAACTGGGACATTGAGATGTTAACGATAAGCACTCATAGCACATGACCCTGCACCACCATTAGTTTAATGGATGACAACGAGCAGCGGGACCAGCAGGACCAACATCTCTGAAGAAGAAGGCGGGATCAAAGAAAAGTGATGCAACATACTGGCAGCGCTTCGTCCGAAAAAAGGTGCAGCAATTGATTTGGAGAGTGAACCAACAAACATAGAGCAACGCAGAATTACGTCTTGATTACGGCCACGGATCAAACATAGATTACACTGCATCAAAAAAACCTATATCGTGCATGTTGAAGCATGCTCTTCGGAAACCACATCTTGCAAGGTCTTGTTGAGGCAAGCTAGATGGGGACTGGACTTTGGAGGGTTTCGTTGTGCGTCAATCTATGTGTGTTACAATTTGCCGGGTTTTTGTTCTGCGGCAAGCCACAATGACAATTTGCAGTGTCCGTGTTTGGGCCAAACTCTTCGAACACCGTGTGAAGGAACTGAGAACTTGCAATTTGCTGCGACCTGCTGGGAGGCGAGGTATTGAGGATCGCGCAGTCTTGCACAGTTGCCTTCAATAAGAACTTGCATATCGTCGATCCGGGTTGTAATTCCCGAAGTGCCTGCCTCCAAACACATGGTGCAATTTGTTCATTAGCTGTGATTCCAGATTTCTTTTTCTGTCTTTCGTTTTTCGCCTCTGCCCTGTGTCTGTCCATGGGCCCTGGCCTAGTGTCCGCCATCCGAAGGCTCGTGCCTGGCACATGCCACATGCTGAGTGTTCCTATGCGCTCGATGAATAGAAAGACGCTTTCGAACCCCGTACCTTCTGGGCTGACTCACAGCTTCGAACCCTAATGCCCAAGTGTCCATACCTCATGCCGCAGTGCAACAGACCCCGCAACCTCATTTTTAATCTCTGCGTTTGGGCCAGCCGGGCCAGCTGCCCATGTTTCACTATCCATGACGATCGCTTACCATCTTCTTCGCCTAATTATTCATATCCATGATGCATGCTTTGGCTTTGTAAACTGATGGTTCATTGGTCCATTGAAAGATGGCTCCAAGCGAAAGATGCATAGATGTTCCGTTTGTTACCATCTCGTAGACCCTACTGAAGCCAATGAACTACGTGATGATCCATGCTAAGCTGCTAATGGAGCTGCAATGAGCTGGAGCCGTGTGTTGGGGCCCGTGCTCGGGTGCTTTGGCTCAGGGAGGCGGCGAGGATCGCAGTGGCCTCCTGACCTGGGAGACGAACCGAGACTCGAGACCTACGAGTCTTGAACAAACTAAGGCTTGAAGGGGTTGAGCGATTAAGGTAAGGCATACTCTTAGTGTTCCTTGTCTAGGCGCAAAGTTTGACGGGTTCGGGTTCCAGGCGTCTCCTCGACGCAACAAAGGCTTTGTTTCAGGTAAGCGTTGGCGGCTTTGGGTTTGGTGCCGCGGTGTACGGTTTACCAACGGCTTCGGACTTGGGTTCCGCCAGTTTCAGGCAAACTCTAAGAGTGTGGCTGAGTTGCATCAAACCGTACGATGCCTCTCTGGAGACCATTCCGTCTCGCACGCAGCCGGTTGAGACTCTCAACCTTTTGATCCTGAATCTCAAGCATCATTACGAACCCTGTCGACTCCACATCCCAAGAAAGTAAACCACCCCTCTTGCATGGTCATCTGCTCGACCGCATGATGAACCGCTAAAGCCGAGCGATGTCAAGAATAGCTGCCTCAGCCGGCATGCCACCTCACCGGCGATCCCAATTTACGCAACCTTTACTTATGTGGATGAGCGCAAGTCAAACAGATTCCTGTACAAGATGATGCAGCAACAACAAGTTCACGGACCGACAGATGGAAATAGTTAATGCTAGACAGTTGCGACCTGTTCTCGTAAGATCCTTGTAAGTTTTAAGCATCACTCACGTCGGTGAAGCCGATAAGGGCCTGATGCTGCAAGCCGTTTGGCCTTTTGCCTTGGACTCAAAGGTTCCGAAATCCAATGCTCCTTCCGTGCACAAGGACCAACAAAACAACACAGGCCATCGCGTGAAGCGTTCAACGACCTTTTGGATCCAACCCGAGGACCTGACTGGAGGAAAGAAGCGGCAAAGCCTTGTCCAATTGCCTGAGAGCAAGTCTTTTGCTTCGGATCGAGAGCTGGAATCTGAGCCCAGTCCCTTTTTACCCAAAGCGCGAAACCCAACGTAGCACGGAAGAACATATGCAATAATACACATAGAGACCATAATACTAAATTTGATGAACTCTGGACAGCAAACGCCGGCGCAGAAAACAGCTCGGAACCCAGGCTGAGGGACACCGATGTTTTGTACTCAATAAGTCCATTATTCGCTGTCTTCGGATGAGGAGTAGCCGCCGTGACGGCATTATGATATTCAATCAAAAACGGCGAGAAGCAGCAGTCAATAGATTTCGGGTGTAGACATATTCTGCAGCACAAAACCTCTCTAATATTTTGCTAACTTCGCTGCAGACTTGCACAATGCACGCAAAGGGTTTTGTTCTGAGGTCAGTCGAAAGTTCTCCTCAGGCTAGCGGCTACGGGCAAGACATGACAATGGTCCCTAAAATACCCTAAAAGCTGGACACGATGCCCACAGACACGACACACAGGAACAGAGTATTGGCCCGAATCAAAGCATTGCGATTGAACCGGGCTTGCATTGAGCAAGCCATGGCAAGCCCGGGCCACTACAAACAACAGCCTGCGGATGGCACCAGTAACTGGAAGGCTCCCTCTACATCAATAATCTGGCTTGTGTAGGTCCTTAGCACTTCTCGAGGCATGGAAACTGTACTGCCATGTCTCTGTAGCAACTAGACCTCGGATCTTATCTCTAGCCTGTGGAGCCTTTGCTCTGCGGGTCTTGACTGGCAACGACTTCAGTTGCTGAGGCCGGAACTGCGATCTCGAACATGCACCTTATCGGTCGAAAATGGTCAAAGGACATTGAAGGCTGCGTCAAGCTTGTTGCCTGTTGTTGCAGAGTCAGGAAGCGGCATGTGGATCAAGGGGCAGTTGAGGTCAGTGGACCCAGAACATGCACACATATACACAATGCGTCTCTGGGCAAATTTATCCAGCCCCTAGGGCCCTATAGCTAATGCCGGAAGTAGTATTGGACTTGCTTCAGGTGGGGCCCACACCCCTGAGATGTAGTGTGGGGGTTGTGTTGCTGGTATCGGTATTAGAGTATGAACTTTACAGCTCCATCGCATGAGTATACAAAAAAGGTTCCGGACTGCCATCTGCAACCCACCTACAAGCACTGCACGCAAAGACCTTCAGTAAAGGGTGGAAATTGTGCTTTTTGACCTGTTGGCCAGCCCAATCATCAACATGTCGCAAGAACCATGCCAGGTGTAGCACAAGGCAAGCATACCCCGACCGCCCCACCATGCCCCACCACTCCCACCTTCTCCTGTGCATCTCATCGTTTCGGCAGATTCACCGGCCCGGCTCGGTGCAACTTGCCCCCGCTGTGCCAGATCCATCTCTGCAATTCTTATAACTTTATGTTGGATACTGTCAATCAAACTCGCCCTGCGGAAGTTCTGCATGACCCATGTCATTATATTGCCTGCGATCCCGACTGAAAGACCGATTTTGCTCGGTTCCAATACATCCTGTATGCTCCAACACTCAACTATACCTGTCAGGACACGCCCAAACCTCAATATCGAGGCGCCTATCTACTCTCAATCCATGTTGAGCAGCACGTGTAAGCGCCGGCAACCTTAACCTCTTACCAGCACGAACGTTCACACGTTAGGCTGAATGATGCTCTATAGTTGAACCGTTAGCCTGTTTTCACGGAGACAACTGATGTAATGCTTTAGCCGGTTCGACCACTTGTTTGCGAGATTGCTTCAATGACCGATGTGCAGAACATCTAAATCTTCGTGCATACACAAATCTATGTGCGTGTATGTGTGTGAATGTGTTATATATATATATGTGTACAGAGAGAGAGAGAGAGAGAAAGAGAACGTGACATTCATATCGGGGGTCGAAAGGGAATTACGTTTGTGGTAGGGTGGTAACTTTCAATAGATTCTGACCGCTGATTTTTACATTGCAAAAACTTTGAAACGTGTATGACTTTTGTCCGCTCCATACTGGGTTCAACTTCTTTAATGAGGAAAGCTGGTTCAGAGGTGGCAACTGTCGGGGCAAAAGTCACGTGAGGCTTGGGGGTACGATGAGTTTTTATAGAGTCTGATCGCTAAAACGTCATCTACCTCCTTCCCTCTGCTCCCTCTACAAATAAAACTCTCGCATTTTTCAATTCTATAGCTCTCGCCGACTTTTTCCGAGGGGGTGCCCTCCCTGCGGTAGCTCTCGCCAGTTTGTTTGTTCAAGCCCTTCTCCCCCCCGCCCTCCCCGCGGTAGCTCTCACCGGATTTTGATGGTGTTAGGATTCTCCATTCCACGGGTGTCTGTATCGGCGATTGCTCCCGCCGATTTTGTTCTCAGCAAGCCCCTGTGCGGCAGCTCTCGCCCCACATGCTTATTGCTTTGCAAAGTGATATATGTCCACCCGGCCGTGCGGTAGCGCGAGAAAAAGCTTGTGGTTCAACTATACTTGTTACAATTTACCAATAGACTATCCAGGGTCCGTGTTGCGGGGTTGGCCTCCAGCATCCACACATGCGCAGACACAAACATAGAGAGAGAGAGAGAGCGAGAGTGTTTGTGCGTGTGCATATACATGTATATACATAGAAAGCGCATGTACATCATAAGTTCTTGATCTTGAATAACATGACACTGTATAAACGCAATTATGTACCTATCTATCGATCGATCTATCGATCTGTCGATCTGTCAATCTATCTATCTATCCATCCATCCATCCATCTATCTATCTATCTATCTATCTATCTATCTATCTATCTACCAATATGTATATATATATATACATACATACATATATTGAAACATATTCATATGTGTGTATGCATATATTCGTATATATGAACTTTTATTTTTCATATATATATATATGAATATACATAGAAGTGTGCATGTACGTCTGTGCATGTATTTAATCGTTTCCCCCTTTTATTAAACACCCCCCCCAATAATAACAACACATTGGGCCCAATCCTCCCGAAATCATCCCTGCAATTTAAAACCTATTCTGAATTAGGGGTGAGAGGGTTTCGAGGTTCCAAATACCTTTAGAGCACAGAAAGAACAAGGGCAAGAGCAAGAGCAAAGGCGGGAGCATCAGCAAGAGCAGCAAAGAAAGCAAAGCAAAAACAAGAGCTGGAGTAAGAGCAAGAGCAGGAGCAAAAGCGGGAGCAACAGCAAGAGCAGGAGCAGGGGCAAGAGAAGCAACAGAAGCAGGAGCAAAAGCCAGCGCTGGAGCAAGAGCTAGAGCAGGAGCAAGAGCACGTCCCCTCAACAGTGGCAGTAGAGATAAAAATGCCCCCTGATAATAAAAACATTTTCCGAGTATCTATTGCCCCCCCCCCGTTCAATATTAGGGGGAAAGGATGAAAGACAAACACAACTACAAACATACGCAAACAACAAGCAAATCAATAACTACGCATATACAATATAATATATATATATATAATATGTTTTACTTATATGCATGCTTGAACTGGTGTATCCATCCCCACTTCGCTGAGCCCGATGCACGCCAGACAACTGAATGCCACGGCATCGATGGGCACCTGTTTCCGCTGCATGGAAACCTCGGACGGAACTTCCTCAGGATTTGTGGACATGGCCTAAGACCTCGCGTTCCGCCACATTCAAGAACAGCCTTCCGCAGCGCGCTGGCCGTATGACTCTGTTTAATTTGTGCTGGCTCCATAATACAGTTCGCCTTCCATGCCAAAGTGTCGAGGGTGAGCGTTCTTGAAGTGAAGAACCAACCATGATGATGTCGATGCTGCTACCGTACGTATTCACTGCTTGCCAGGGATTGTGACAAAGGTACTGTGGGCACTTCAAGGTGCGAGAGGCCAGGCATTTGCACGTGTTCTTTCCAAAAAACTGTTAAACCTAACTTGTTCATGCATCTAAGATTCTGCACATGCCTCGCAAGTGACAGCACGTTATGGAACCGACGCAAGACACGTGGCCAGGGGGTTATTCAAGACATCAGTCATATATTAATATATTATGAGGACGGAGTTGGGTCGGAGAGGTGCAGGCGGTGCAGGGTGTTTAGGAGCTCAGAAGCTCAGCTCGGAGGAAATCACTGTGACGATCTGACTACAGACAAGGGGGAGCTGGCTAATGAGGTCACCACTCATTCGCGCTCCCACATGTTGTACCTGCTGCCCTACAAGCAAATAAACGGAAGAAAGCAAATCGAAGCCGCTTGTGACTCTGGACCTGCTGTGTAGCTCCCTTGACCCTTGTTTGGGGTGTTCATGCTGGAGAGGCGTTTATGCCTCCAGCTTGATACAGCAGAAGGCTACTTTCCTCAGGCCGGGGTAGGGACCATGCCAGCCAGTGAATGGGCCCACCTTAGACACAGATATAAGACTGTTTTGGAAGCTTCGTGTAGTAGATGGTCGTTTCTGTTCTGGAACTCAAGCAGTACGCTTGACTGTAGGTGAATATCACGCCCTTTGCAGGTGGTAGGCCCGTCGGAACCGAAGACACAAATGAGGACTACACACTCTCAAATCTCTCAAACCAGGCCTTTGCAAGCGTATTACCGCGGGCAGCATGCAGTTACGACCAGGCTTCTGCAGCTTGACAAGTCGAGGTGTGTGAGGAGTCTAGAGCATCAGGACCTTAAGGGTCGATGAGAAACGAAGGCATTCTACTTCCAAACATATTTCTTCATATGGTTGTTGCAGGTTTCATGGATTTTGCGTCCACAACCTAGATCGCAACCCCTACACCCGTAGTGTGTCGAAGAGGCTGAAGGATCTGAGGCAAGACTCGCGCGCCAACAACAACGCGCTCGGCCCAATATCACACATCCAAGAAAAGGTATTGCTTGGACGTCGACGGCCCAACACCAAACATCCACACCGAACCAATAAACAGCCAAACATCAACAAAGTTCCCGAAGCCCGTCAGGCTTCGAATGAGAAGCCCAGAACCCACGCCGCCTCCCTTCTCCTCCCAACTTTAGCTCTAAGATGTCTAACAGCATGCCTACCACAATGCATACACCCAAGAAGCGGCACAAAAGCAAAGACCCATCAACACAAACTTTCGAAGGGTCTCCTTATGATGCTGAGCACCGTCCAGGACCAACGGCTCGCATCGTGAGACCCCGAAGCCTGAACCCGTCTAGTCAGAAGTCGTACTCCTCATTGCTTGCAGCCGCGAGGCATTGCACTGCGAGCACATTCTGCGGCGACTGCGCCCCGCACTGGGCAGGTCCCCGAACCCACAAAGCGCTCCAAAATAGAAATGTTGTAGATCTGACCATGCTCGACACTCTCAGTGTAGTAACACCAGCAAAGCAGTTTCGGCAGCCGGTTACGAATTTCACGCAAGTTCTAGAAGTGCCAGGCATAGTCTGCAGGGCTGCAAGGTACACCAATATGTCAAGAACAAACAGCGCTGAAGCGCGCGGAAGGTGCTTCCAAATGCATATATCGGAAATCGATAGCCGTGCGGATAAATGCACAATCTTCACTGAGTTGGAGGCCAGAAGCTTCCCGACACTTTGCTAGAAGCGCCAAGGCCTGGCGAAACACACCCAATCAACTACAAGCAATCCGAACTAGTCTCGTGGAAAGTTGCAAAAATCTTATGCAGACTTCGCATACTAGATTTGCTAGTACTTTGACTTCTTCAATCGTCGAGAAGCGGCTCGTGATGAAAAGGCGTTAAGTACTTCAGGCCAGTGTGCATCTCTGTGGTATCGTGGCCGCGGATTCTCGACTAGCCAAGAAGCTACGATTCAGGAACGTGTAGCTACAGGGTCAGCAGAAGTCTGAAACATGCTGCACTCGTCGCTGGCTTGTTCATCAAATTCGGCTCTTTGAGGGCAAACGAACATGTGATATGTGTAATGTGGAGGTATATGTTGAAACATCATCTCTCGTTTGTCGATTGGGTTTGAAGATTTCAAACAAACATCCTGGCAGCATGCACAAGCATCAACCAAGCAGACATAAACTCATCAAGAGCTGAGGGAATGCAGGTCCCCTCGCCGCCCTTACATATGATGAGTCCAGAACACACAAAGGGAAAGGGCTTGACAGACAATCGTTACCGATCTTGCTTTTGCTGCCCGCTGCTGCTGGTCTTGTTGTGGCGGACCAATTTACTAGTATTTGTTGTTCTTCCTGCGACCATTGTCAATCTTGTCTCCGATGTCGTTACTGCAGTTGCTGCAGCATTCTCTTGTTGCGGCTTGCCGCTTTCATTGTGCAGCTCTCCTGCTATTGCTTCTGCTTCTGCTCCTGCTCGTGATCTCGCCTTGTGGAGCTGCTCAGTGATCATCATCATCATCATCATACTCATGATGCCGATGATGGGGGCGTGACCGTGACAATCATACTGACGATGGTGATGGTGATGACGAAGAGGAAGATGATGAAGTTGAAAATGACAAAGACTAACATTATGATGTGAGTGGACATGATGATGATGGTGAAGATGATGAAGATGATGATGAGGAGGATGATGACGATAATGATGGTGATGGCGGTGTTGGCGTCACTGCTGCCGCTGCTGATGATGAAGGTTGTGATGATGTATGACAAAGGCTGATGACGGTGATGACGAAGGGCTAACACGTAACGGATACTACCACAGCCACTGTGCACATTAGAAGTACGGCTAATAATTGCTTCCTCTATCGGGATATTCTAGTCATGGCAACATCAGTTGCTGCTGGTGGTTGTCACCGTCAACATATGTGCTTGGCTTCTTACTCTGCAGCTGCCGCTGATGTTGTTGATGTTGTTTGTAGGCTAGTTGCGACTGCTCCTGCCACTGCACCATTAACATTGTTCGTAAATTGGCGACTGTTGCGTTGCAGGTGGTGTCCTCGGGCCTTGAGCCTTCGCAAAGTTGACACCGGCACATAAAATCTGACTACGCCCTCATGAACCCTAAGTCCCAAAAGTAAAAAAAACATGCACAACCACACACCCGTGCACCCACACACCTCTACACACATAAAGCAGTAATAAACGCGCCAGGAAGCTCAAGCAGAGATGCTTGCTCTCGCTCTCTCCATCTCTCTCTCCCTCTCTCTCTTTCTCTCCCTCTCTCTCTCTCTCTCTCTCTCAAGATGCTACGAGTACATTAGCGCAGGAACTACTATGGCGGGAAGGCCACTCCAAGCGAAACTGACACTTGAATGAAGGCAGTGTGATCCGAGCTCAGCTCCAAGCCGAGGTCCCGAAACCTTGAAAGAGCCAACCTTCAGCTTTAATGTATAGCAAAGACATATGTCGCTCTTGTATACTCAAAACTGAAAAACGTAACATGTGCGATCTTTGCATGTGTTCTCGTATGGAACGCTTCGTTCTTCTCCGAGCGTACACAGTTTAAAAATCAACAAATAATACATGGGAAACTAGTTTAACGGCCACAGACAAACACACAGATGTGTGCATATGCATATATGAACATTTAGATAAATGAATATGACTAGTAAGTAAGTAAACAAACAAGTAGATCCACAAACAAACAAATTAGATACATACTAAATATAAATGGAAAACAAAAAATAAATAAACAAATAAATAAATAAATATGTGTATATATATATATATTTGTATATGTATATAGATATACACATACTGTGTGCATATATGTGTTTATGTATGTACATACAGACGGAACGCGACCCACATATTCCACAAATCATCAGTTAAATAAAAACATCGTGCATAGGACTAAGAACCTATATAGGTGTAACAGTGTATGTATATATATATATATATTTATGTTTATGTAGGGAGACAGAGAAAAGAGAGACACAAAGAGAGGGAGGGAGAGATGCGAACACAATCCCACAAGCACACGCAAACGCAAAGCATCTATGTATACTGTATACATGTATATACACGCAAACGTTGTTACTAGCTATGACGAAAAGTAGCGGCAGAAGCTGCAATGTCGTGGGTCACAGGCCTTGGCCCAGTGGAAAGACTGCCCAAAGCCTCTGCCGATGATGACGAGCCTGGGCTCCGCGGTTTGGGGTGCCGGCGCGCAGGTGCGATTCCGAATTCTCGACTCGATTCGTCTGAGATTCAGGGATGCTCAGATGGCATTGGAGTTTTCGGGCTGGCTGCAGACGGGGTTGGGATGGAAGTGAAAAAAAAAACTCTCTCGAGACTGCTAATTGCTAACCCATACAGTCAAAATTTTGGCACCGACTCCTGTAATCGCAAAAACTCAGGTGAGTGGCAAATATGCAAACACTAAGCTGAGACTAGAAACAGTGTAGCCTACAGCTCTTGTAGGGTGGAGGGCCTCCGCCCTACCAGCCTTACAAGGGCAGGGCGGGGCTGAGGGTCGTTCCCGCTTGGCCCACCCTTTACTCTCTCTGCTGTCGGCTTGCTTCCCCTGATTCCTACTTTGAGCCAGCCTCGCTAGCAACTCTGGTGTCTAGTGCTTAGTATGCAAAGCTCGCCAAACCCACATCAGTGCTGGCATCAAGTTTAAGTCCTCGTCAGATGAGGGTCGGGTCTCCCGGCATGCCAGCGCTCGGTGGCAAGTTGGCTTCTTGCATGTGAGCCTTGACGCAATGCAAGACATGGCTGAGATCACTCGCGTTCGGTTTGTCAAGGCTTACACAACAGACAGGTCAAAAAACCGACATGGAACGATCCCTGCCTGAACCAGTACCCAGAATCTTCATTTTGGTATCAACGTGCAGTCTAGGACGAGGGATGTGACATTGCACTGTGCCACTGTTAACTCGGAGGGTTTATTGCGCTTGCAGAACCAAATGATGCCGCTAAATCCTCAGCGCGAGGCGCTGAGAGACTCCTGAACGCTGAACACCTCGCAAGGACACTCAGAGCCCCCTTGGGCCTGCAGAGTCAGGACTTCCTGCCATCGGTGAGCGCGGCTGTATGCTGCGGCCTAGCAAGCCGGAGAACAGCTCGCAAAGCCCAAGGATGCTCCGCGCGGACTGACGTCACAACGGCCACAAGAGCAACACCACGGGCCCCTCAACTAGACAAAAATCACAGAATGTTGTCTAAGCAGTCTTCGATGGGTCGAAGCCATGCCTAGCAGATTGTCCTTGGGACCCTCCGGGCACGAACAACTAGTAGTCCGAACTGAAGTTCTTATTTGCAGATCTGCTTCTTCGGAGCCTCAAGTTCACCAGGACTTTGAGTGGGATGCTGCGCGAAATTCCGCTAAGCATCGTATCACTGAAGCAAAGTCTTTAACTGAGCCAGAAGTGCACCAACGAGCTTGCCTGGTGGCATTTCGCTGCATTTGCCCATCCTTCCAAACTCTTACGAGTATGACCTTGCTCAGCCCATGAAGTTTCCCCCTCCCCAGATCAGGCGACTTCGCCAAGGCCGAAGCTGTCATGCGTCTCTCTTCGCTCTATTTCCAGCCCGACGAAAGAGAACCCTTCGAGGCCGGAGCCAGGGCTTCGTAGGTTGTTGCTGTCGGAGGAACACCTGCCAGCCGTGAGCACAGCCGTGAGCACAGCCGTAGTTGCTGTTTTTGTATGGCAAACATCTAAGGTCTGAGTCTAAGGCGTCAGAGGCTTGAGGTGTTTTGCGACAGCAATTGCGTCCTCGTGATCGTCCCTGTTGCAGCTCTAGCGTTTTTCTACTTCTGGCGTCAGGCTCAGCGTGAGAGACGTCAAAACGACACTGTCGAAGGAATCCAAACCCGAAGATTTAATGGAATCAGACGTGCATTGAAGTGTACCGTTGAAAACGCCAACTGCTCCTGAATAGGGCATACATTGGAGATTAGTGAGGAATTCGGGCGAACACTCCAAATGGCTCTTAAATGCCACCCACGTGCCACTGCAGTGCAGCTTCCCAGGCTCCCACTTGTGAAAGGACACCCAGCCCAACTCCGAGGCAAGTTGTGTGTTGCTTGTGCTGCTCGGTCTTGGTGCGACCGGCTCTTACAGTCTTACAGCTCGTGTCAAGCAGTGGCATTGGTTACTGCTCTTACTTGCACTTGCATATGTGCGTGTGTATGCGGCTGCGAGCATGTAAGCATGCGTGGATGTATGTCTGCATTCATGTATTCTGTTTGACGCATGCATGAGGACAGGGAGACAGATAGATGGAAAGCTTGATCAATGGAGAGTTTGATAAACGGATCTATCGATCGACAGACCGATGGACCGATAGGCCGAAGATACAAAGAAGGATAGATCGATAGAAAGATACACCGATGGATACGGGGATAGACAGCAGACAGACAGATAGAGAGGTAGACGGATTCATCGATAGATTCATCGATCGATCAACCGATCGATCGATTTGCTAGGTAGACGAATCGATGGCGGCTGGCTGGCTGGCTGATTGGATGGACTTACACATACGGATATACCCCAGACATCCAATGATTCGGTACGCGAGACCTTCAGATTTTCGTGGACACTTCTGACTGCCCAAAGCTGCAACCTGCCCGGTGCATCCGCGCCCAGAGCTGCTGAGCTGCTTCCCACCTTGGATCGTGTTGAGGCTTCGGCTCTGCCAGAGCTCCGGCCATGGGCTGCCCCGTTGCTGAAGTTTGCTGCCGGTCTCTTAGGCTGTGTCAGCGGCACTCCGGTTATACTTTATCCCGATTGCATTGGCTGAAGCGTGACAACCCTGCGCTAAACCCTCAACTCCGATCGAACCCGACACAGCAGTGCCAACGGAGCCTTGGACCCAAGAAGAAAGCACTGGAACAAAACAGTTGACACACGAAAGGCCTCACGTGGCAGATAGGTTCACTGAGGGTTGCGTTGAAGGGCTAAACAAGGCGAAAATACAATCCAACTGCAGCCTGAGCAGCTGTCCGGCCTCAGCACAGGCTGCTATCGCTGCCTCGTAGAACCCAGAGCAGTTCAGTATTTTCGGAAGGTTAGGACATTCTCACTTTAAAGGGTAGACACAGGAACGTGGGGATGTGTTAGCGCTCTCCTCCCAGCACCAAAGTAACTATGACTTAGAGGGACCCCCTAATCTAAAGGGGGATGGCAAATAGACTTCACCCGCAAGTTATATTCAGGGTCGTTGGCTGGAAATGAGCCTTTAAACCCTGTCCGGCACGACACCGGGCAACCGAACTCCCGCAGCACTCGCTAGCCCGCTAGCACTCACTAGCGCTCACCAGCACTCACTGGTGCTCACTAGCGCTCACTAGGGCTGACCAGTGCTCACCAGTGCTTACCAGCCCTGACTAGCGCTCAGCCGTGGCAAAACATTAGCCTTGGAGAACACTGCTAACATGCACGTATTAGTGCTCACTGGCGTAATCAGGGACGCCACTCTCCGCAGACCGAGAAGTTCAATCAACCGAAGCTCACCAAACAATGCTAGCTAGTGACTACCAGTGTCTAGCATAGTGCCTAGCAAGCATTGCTCATGTCTGCTATGCTCAGCCAGCCTTCTGGCCAGATCCCTGCATTTGGCAGCCCTCCTTTTTTTTGGGGGGGGGGACCCTTTAATCACTTGCCACCACAACCCTGAATGCAAGAGTCCCAACAGCTTGTTAAGCAACAACTTGCTTCGAAACGCTGACATCCCGCAAGCCGAAACACGGATCCTGGGCGCCTGGACATATGCATATTCCTGTACAAGGCAATTGCTGACCCGGCAGGAATATATCCAAATTGCAACATACTCGGAATGGGCATGGAGCCAATGTCCTGGTTTCAATTCAATTTTCCTTCCTAGTTTTTGATTTCCGCCTCAGCATGCTTATATCGGGTTCAGCCTCATCAACCTACAGCCGACACAATCATCCGCCCGGACTGATAAGGCGCAGGCTGTTGTCACCACCGCATCCTGTAGAGCAGCGCCAGCTGCATCGAACCTCGTCATTGAGATGGCCCAAGTGTGTCCGGCTTCCCCGAAGTTCATTACCGTGCTTACAAAACCACATGTATATGCGTATACGGGATGTGCATGTGCGCATATCTGCGCACAGTCATGCATGCACACATACCTGCACTGATGCAAATAGACAAACCTATGTGCCTTGTGTACCTTAGCTACATGAGCATGGTTGTGTGGCCATTGCACAGACATTCAGACAAACGCATACACTGACTCGCCCAAAGTTGCACATGCACTGACCTCGAGATGGTAGATACACATATATCATAAAGAAAGAACGGAACGATGCAGACGAGGATTAATATGAAGATATTTGCCTGAAAGTACATGTATGTGCGGATGTTTGTGTGCATGTGTGTATGTGTGTATGTGTGTATGACTGTAAGTATGTATGTATGTATGTATGTATGTATTTATGTATTTATGTATGTATGTATGTATGTATGTATACACGAAAAACATAGCTGCATGCATGTGTATGTATACTATACAATGTATACACTGGCCTACCTACTTGCCTTCTTGCCTACCTTCTTGCCTGACTACCTACCTACACAGCGGACACGCCACACCGAACACGACATCGTGCACAGCCAAGCCAATGCAGGCGTGAAAATTGATGAAGTGTGAGCCCTCAACGAAGCTCGAGGAGATACCGAGCACGAAGACTGGAGTTTCAGAATGCTGCAGAAGTGCCGAAGAAGCCACGCGAAGTGTGCTGCCGCTCTGAGCAACGCTGGACAATTACTTGTCAATACGATGCCAAACAACAAGACCTTTGAGCCCTTGCTTCTGTTCAATCTCGTGGTCAGGAACTTCAGCAGCACGCCTGACGAGCGAGAGCCCATGAGAGTTGGGGGCTGTCACAACATTTGGCTCTGATTTGTATGCCCCAGAAGATGGGGTCCGGGCAAATGCAACGCACCTGCTGACGGCTTCAACGAATGGGTTGCTTGTGTTACCGGGATAGTCAGTTGTCTATCAATAAGCAGATCCATAAATACATCTAAGATTCATATATATATATATATAT